TCTGTTCTTGTTATGGCTCTCACTTCTTTAGGGTATATACCTAGTAATGGGATGGCTGGGTCAAATGGTATTTGTATTTCCAGCTTTTGAAGGAATCGCCATACTGCTTTCCACAATGGTTGTACCATTTTACAGTCCCACCAGCAGTGTATGAGAGTCCCAATCTCTCCGTGAGTGGAGTCTTTGCTGAGGGAGTGAGGGAGATGCTTGAGAGGCTCTTCATGACTGAAAAAAATTGTACCAATAGTCAAATGGGATATGTGTTTCTCTGCTTACATATATGAGGAAGGGTAGGCTGGTGGTAGATGGATGAGAAAGAAATGGAGGCTGTCACAGAGGGAACTAAAGTGCAAAGGTATTTTAGAAACTTTACAATGTGTTTGGAAATTATGGCAAGTAGTTCGGTGTGGCTTCAAAGAGAGAGTAAAGGATTGATGGGGCAGAAGGAGACAGATGGTGGAAGACATGAAAAAGCTCCAACTTCTTCTGTAAGCAGTAGAGGGTACAGAGAAATCTCTAAGTAGGGGCATGATATGATCAGATTGTTTTTTGGATAAAGGTCTGATATCACTATAGGGGATGGATTTGAGAAGATCAGCATTAAATGAATGCCTTTTAGAGGTTACCACAAGTAATCAAAACTCCATGGCTGTTTCCCAGCTAACTCTGCCTGTATGTGTGTCTCTCCCTAGTGACGGTGTTGGCCATTTTCCATGAACTGCACGTTGACCCAGATCTCTACACACTCTTATTTGGGGAGAGTGTTTTGAATGATGCAGTGGCCATAGTTCTTACATAGTAAGTACTGGTACTTTGCTTATGTTTCTTTTACAATATGAAATATGCTTCTACTTGGAGATAATTCCTGATGGCTTTAATAAGTATCTTTTCCCTGATGTCATAGAGATAGAGGCAATTTCTAGCTTTTAAGGAATTTTTATCACAGAAAATCTCCAGTAATAGGCACAATTCATTAGACACCTAATTTCTAATACTATTATTGGGTTTCATATTTCTAGCCTATTACAAGATACTACCCACAGGGTAACATTTTTTTTTTTTTTTCTTCAGCATATATATTTAGTTGGTTCACTTTGGATTCCTAAGATGCACATAAATGAGCATTCTTCATTTCAAATCAGTATCATTTAATTTGTATGCTTGTACAAGTCATTTTTCAGACAATTGGCTAATAGAAACTTTTGTATGTAGAGTAAGATTGGCAAACTGAAACTAGAAGCTGAGGGTCAGAATCCTCTATATGCCAATGCAAACTTAATGCTTTATAGGAAAAAATACATCTTAAATTATCACATGACAAATGAAACTAAGAGCTAAGAGTGAATGTGATTTTGCCTTCATCCTGGCAGAATTTTCTTTTTGAGATGAGAACTAATGCTCTTTTCTTTACTTCCCTTTAGACACTTACCATTTATATTTAATAAATGCCACTTTGGTGGCTTTCACTATGTCAGAGGTCTCTTCTCCATTTTAGATTAAGACCAACGTTTTGGGCATCTGTCAAATATCCCAAAGGAAAGTAGCTATCTGATAATTAAATGTGACAACAGGATTCTATTCAGGGTGTTAATTGCTTCAAAAGCATTTGAAAATGTATTGTGAAATAACAAAGGATTTCTAAAAGTCAGATCTCACAAAGGGGAGTAGGAAAATGGCAGAGCAACACTATTTTTTTCACTACCCTTTTCTTCTGCCAGCTGACATTTCTTAATGCTGCCTCCCTAGAGTTGAAACTGAACTCAACAACGTCAAGTGAGGGTCTCCAAATAAACTTACATTCCACCTGACCACTATATAAGTAACTCTCTTCTGTATTAAAGGAAAATATCAATGAGTGCAAAGAACAAAAGCCATGACAGATTCACAAACGTTAAAAGATACTTTAAAAGAAACACTAAGAACAATTAATTAGAACATCAGAAATCCCTGTCTAAGAAATACTACTATTAAAGGAATATTTGGAGTAAAAATTTAAAAAGAAAAAAATCAGCTGAGTTCCTCATTTTCACTTTCTGAGCTTTCAAGGTGCTAAAGGCCAAGCAAAGCAAAATCACTAACGTGCAAATGAGCTTGGAAAGAATCATGCAGTTACAACCAAGGGAGGCTTGGCCTTTTTGCTTTCAGCTCTACCATTCACAATAGTTTTCCATTGAAAATACAGACTCTAAGGTTGAATGTTGAGTACAGGCCTGGAGAGCCGGGCATGTGAAACAGACTATTTAGTGTCTTCGCAGGTGGTTGTTGTTGTTATGTGCCGTCAAGTCGTACTGACTCATAGCGACCCCTCCTTGGGTTGCCGAGGCAGTATCACGACGGAAATAGATTGCCCAATCTTCCTTCCGAGGAGTGGCTGGTGGGTTTGAACCGCCAGGCTTCTGGTTAGCAGTCAAGTGTCATTAGGCACTATGCTACCAGAGCTCCTACCTTCCGCAGGTTAGGACCTGTTTATTACCGGCAGTGCCAGTGACTGCCTCTTGTACCCCACATGTTCAATGTTTTGTATCTCAACAATAAAATGTGTGTCACTCCATGGCAAGATCTTTTTTTTTTTTCTAAGCATAAGGTATTTGCCATCCTAACTGTGTCAATTCAGATATTATGTTAAGAGACAAAAAACATTTGCCGTTGTTGACTGATTCATGGTGACCCCATGGTTGTCGGAGTAGAATTGTGCTCTATAAGGTCTTCAGTGGCTGATTTTTTAGAAGTAGATTGCCAGACTTTTCTTCCTAAGCACCTTGGGTAGACTCAAACCTCCAAACTTTTGGCTACCAGTGAGTGCTTTAACCATTTACACCACCCATGGACTGTGTAGAGTGACCTTGGATTATTTTCCTAGGGCTGCCATAACAAAATACCACAAAGTGGATGCCTTTAAACACCAGAACTTGATAGTCTTACTGTTTTAGAGGGTCCGACTCGACGGCACATAACAACAACAACAACAAATTTAAATTCAAGGTGTCAGAAGGATCATGCTACTTCCCAAGGCTCTAGCGGAAGATCCTTTCTTGTAGCTCAGCTGGTAGCACCATCATCCCTCTCTGTCTCTTTCTCGATGTGATGTCTTTTCTCCTCTTTCATAAGGACACCACTCAGATAGGATTAGGACTCACTCTACTCCAGTATGACCTTATGTTATTTAACTAACAGTATCTTCAAAGACCTTATCTACAAATAAAGTCAAAGTCACATCCAAATAAGGTACCAGGAGTTAAAACTTCAACGTATTGTTTTGGAGAATAACATTTAATCTACAACTGACCCCAGTGAGTTCCAACCTTTAAAATAAAATTACTCCTTTATTTTAGAAATATACTTAGGAACACTGGACTCTCAAATGGTTTATACTTCATAATTTAGGGACTTCTAATTCCCTCTGGGGTATTTGGACCCCAATATCCCCTTCCATGGGCTTTACTGAATGGTATGTATCTAAGAAGTTCTGGGTTGGGATAGCACTATCAGTGCTATCTGTTGTTTACCACTTCCTCTCCCTTGCTGAATTTTCATGTGTAGTTCTCATCATTTTTTCTCAGTAGTTCACTCACTAGCTTCTTAAACTTAGTTGAGAACACATATGACCACCTATTTATTCATCAATTTATGTACGCATTATTCTCTCTCCTTGTAATGCTCCATCCCCACATTTCCTCTTCCAACTAAAAAAATTTTTAAATTTTACTCAAAAATCATTTAAAGATTTCCTATGATTTTCATACTAAAAATTCAAATATTTTTCTCCCCACTTTTCCTTTTTTCCCCACCAAATCTCACATAGCACCCTGACACAGCACTGTAGGTGATATCTCCTGCCATGGCAGACACAGAGTTCAGTCTCTCTGGTCGCCCTCCTCAGTTTCTTTTTCTGCCCAATTGAGTCTTACAACTTACCTTAGTATTCTCCTTTAGGACCCACTTGCTCACTGGCTGAGCCCCTACATCACCCCTGCATCAATTCCCTTGTAGCCATCATTGTAATGCTGGGTTTAAATATATATTTCCAAGTCTATGTACTGAAATACTTATTCAAAGAACAAATACAAATCTCTTTTGTGTCTTTGCTTTCTTAGTTCCACCTTTGTATGGTATGAGGTCTAAGAATAGTGATACAGCTATTATTGTACCAGAGGAGAAACAGTTATATATTTTGAATGAAATCAGGTATAAGAAAGAACTTGAACCATACACTATTAAGTCCTTTGGCAGTTCTTATAGAATCCCTTGGAATGGCCACAAACTTTCATTTACCTTCTCATCTTCCTCAAGAAAACCTCCTTGTTTAAAAATCATCTTCTTTCATTTTAGTATTTTTTTAAAAAATTAATTATTAGTATTATGATAATGCTGTGCTCTAATATTTTCATTCAAATAAATTAATTTATCTACCTTTTAAATTGAATCAATTTTCCTGTACAAGTCTAAGAAGCAAGTGACTAATTATATCATTGCTTCTTAAGTTAAATTAAAAACCAAACTCACTGCCATCAAGTCAATTCTGACTCTCACAGGGTTTTTGAGGTGGTAAATCTTTACGGAAGTAGATTCCCCAGTCGTCCTTCCATCTCAAGTTAAATATGCTCTGAATTTCAGACAGCTTGCTTGTAATTGAATTTGATGGTCACACTTTTCTACATAGCAGTAGGTGGCAGGTAACACAACACAATGCACTGCCGTGGAGTTGAGCCGACTCATAGCGACCCCTCCTTGGGTTTCCAAGGCGGTATCACTACAGAAGTAGATTGCCCAACCTTCCTTCCAGGGAGTGGCTGGTGCGTATGAACCACCAGCCTTCTGGTTAGCAATCAAATACCTTAGGCACTATGCCACCAGGACAGGTGGTGTTGCTATAATTTAAAGTACCCGTCTTAGTTTCCTAGGGTTGCTGTAACAATATACCACAAAGAGGATGGCTTAAAAAACAGAAGTTTATTTTCTCACAGTGTTTGGAGACTAGAAATCCAAGCCAAAGCAGCTGCTTTAGAGGATTGTCCTTTCTTATCAGTAGTCCTGAATGTTCCTTGATGTTCTTTGACTTGCAGACAGATTCTCATACGGTGTCTTCCCACTGTGCATGTGTAGCTCTTTATGTCTGTTTTCCCTTTTTATAAGGTATCACTCAGAGGGAATTAGGTTTAGGACCCACTCTATGCCTGTATGACCTTATTAACATGTTTGTTATAAAGAAAAACTCTATTTCCAAACAGAATCACAATCATAGGGACAAAGGTTAGGACTTCAATATATCTTTTAGGAGAACAAAATTCAATCCATTATCAGTGATTCAGAATTGTTCTTAGAATTAAAATAATGTAATAATTTTCATTTTGTGTGCTTGCATTGGTAAGTTAATTTACTTAACATAAAAATTTTGAAATTAGCTTGTCTTTGACCCATTCAATTATTTCAAGTGTATGGAGAATTTCATAGTCAAATGTGTATTTATGAATTCCACTTGACACATTTCCATTTCTAAAGGTTATTTCTCACCTCTGTGGAGTCAGATCCAACTCATAGTGACCCCTCCTTGGGTTTCCAAGGCAGTATCTCTACAGAAGTAGATTGCCCAACCTTCCTTCTGAGGAGTGGCTGGTGGGTTTGAACCACCAGCCTCTGGTTAGCAGTCAAATGCCTTAGGCACTATGCTTCCAGAGTAGGCTACAAAGGAAGGCAAAGAAACTTTTGAAGAAGTCTTGAAGGGTGTGTGTTTCTGAATCCTGAACAAAGAAATTAATTTCACAGTCAGCATAATAGAATAGAAAGATCCTGAGATTTGA